AATAATTCACAAAAGCATAGAGAAGTAAAGGAAGGGCTACAACTGCAATTGTCCTAAGGACTGCACAAATTGCTATCAATATATTTTCCTTAAAGTAGACTTTTGTTATGGTCCTAAGAACAAAGTTTCTCCTATCATTTGAGCTTTTGTCTCTTATAAGCGACTCCCACGCATTAGAAAACTTTTGGTAGGCCAAATTGGATTCATCTTATGTACTAATAGAAGGGATGTCTTGAAGAGTTAAGGGTCTCAAATAACCCCGGGAAAGCAAAGGGTTAATCCAAGAAAATGACAATTTTCTGAAGAAACTGGCGTCATCAAGTTCCACCGGGTTTCTTCCCTCTAATTGAGGCTCTGATTGACTCATTTTTCCTAGCCAAATAAATGAAGTTTCTAAAGGTTCCAAACAGCAGCAAGAAGTTCATGGGCCATGGAGAAATGTCGAATATGAAGAACCGAAACTAATAATGCAGATGACACCTACCTTCACCTGTTGTGATGTATGAAAAAGCCATGAACATGATAATGAAATCCAAATCAATCCTTGAGAAAGTGGGCAGAAAAAAACACTAAGATATTATATTTTTAGTTCCACCATTAGTCATCAACTACACTACTTTTAATAACAACAGCCAAACATTTCGTATTATGTACTAAAATTTATTAGTCATTATCACTACACATGTTGTCTTCGTATGAAGTTCGTTATTTATGAGTGAATAATCGTTCCATTAATAGCAAGAGCCAAACATTTCGAATCCAAATGATAAAATATTCATTTCCAGGGTTGAAGCCGTATGAGAACCAATACTGGTTTAGGGCTATGAATTATGAAAACTTTCTTTTCATATTATATACGAATGCATAAAAGATTCAGAACATGGAACAGAGCTCTTACAGAGAACAGTGAAACATGGCAAACCATTTTTTTATCTCAAAGAAGATTACAAAAATGATTGCAATATAAAAACCTCTGCAGACAAAGAGAAAAAGGTGGGCTTTTTGTTTTGTCTTTATGTTGAAATCAATTTGAGTTATAATATTGTCATCATGTACCCTGCCAAAAGATCAGAAAACAACTTTCAAAATTTTAAATAATTGACTGAAGATGAGCTTCATTATTAAATAATCACAGACAATGACAATTGTTTTCTATATTGGTCTTCTAAGATCAAGCACTGTATCCTACATAGGCAAAAGATTTCGATCACTAAAAAGAGTCACTAAATGGCTTGACTATAGAACCATTAAAAAAGGGAAAAGAAAATATATTTGTTATCAAACAGAAAGATTGATAGAACTTTTAGTTAAATTATAATCCCTTGTAATAATACATCATCATTTGGATATAAAATTCAATGCATGTTTACGGAATAATAGTAGGTTTTTAATCTAAACAGGGGAAAGCATGGGGGTTTGCATGAAATTTGACCATTTAAATTAAAGAGAAAATAATCTCAGTGACCAAAAATCTTAGATAATATACGATTTTGACCAACTTTTTTTGGATTTGCGAAAATGACCAACAAAATCGCAATGCGATCTCTAATTCGCATTGCGATCTCCACTATCGCAAATTCACGTTGCATTTCGCATTGCGATAGTTGAAAATCGCGTTGCGTTTTTCCATTTCGCGTTGCGATAGTTGGAGATCGCGTTGCGATTTTCCATTTCGCGTTGCGATAGTTGAAATCGCAACGCGATCTCCATCATCACAAATTCACGTTGCATTTCGCGTTGCGATAGTTGAAAATCACGTTGTGATTTTCCATTTCGCGTTGCGATAGTTGAAAATCGCGTTGTGATTTTCCATTTCGCGTTGCGATAGTCTACAGTTGTCGTTGCGATTTTCCAAATTCGTTGAAAAAAAGATTTTGTTTCTTACGAAATTTCTCTAAAAATATAGTATACGCGCGGACGTGTCGAAGACACGTATTACCATTACCATTACCATTACCATTACCATTACCATTACCATTACCATTACCACGACCACGACCACGACCACGACCACGACCACGACCACGACCACGACCACGACCCGACCCGACCCGGGACGGACGGCGGCGGTGCGCGAGAGTCCCCCTTGTTCTCTATCACTAGACAAGGAAGTGGGAAAGCCAAGCCTTAAATACCATTCCCAATAGTGTTTCCAATACAATGTGGGATTGTGCATTATCAACACTTGTTTCCAATACAATGTGATTATTCAGGAAACAATTAACAATCATGCACCTTAAAACAACTGAATCAACAACCAATTACATTAGTATTATACGATTAAATATGTCATAATTAAAAGTCAATCTACAATCAATCGCGATTATTGTAATTTTAAGCAAAACATTCAAAAATAATATCACTATTTAAGGCTCAATCCCACATAGTATTGGGAACAAGTGTTGGTAATGCTCAAATCCCACATAGTATTGGAAACACTATTGGGAATGGTATTTAAGGCTTGGCTTTCCTACTTCCTTGTTGAGTGATAGAGAACAAGGGGGACTCTCGCGCGCCGCCGCCGTCGTGGTCGTGGTCGTGGTCGTGGTAATACGTGTCTTCGACACGTCCGCGCGGATACTATCTTTTTAGAGAAAATTCTTAAGAAACAAAATCTTTTTTTTTAACTATCACAACGAATTTGGAAAATCGCAACGACAACTGTAGACTATCGCAACGCGAAATGGAAAATCGTAACGCGAATTTCAACTATCGCAACGCGAAATGGAAAATCGCAACGCGACTGTAGACTATCGCAACGCGAATTGCGATTTTCAACTATCGCAACGCGAAATGCAACGCGAAATGGAAAATCGCAACGCGATTTTCAACTATCGCAACGCGAAATGCAACTCAAATTTGCGATAGTGGAGATCGCAATGCGAATTAGAGATCGCATTGCGATTTTGTTGGTCATTTTCGCAAATCCAAAAAAAGTTGGTCAAAATCGTATATTATCTGTGATTTTTGGTCACTGAGGTTATTTTCTCTAAATTAAAACATAAGTATAGGGGCTTTCATGTAATTTAGCCATGTATATTAAAACACAAGTTTAAAATATAACCAGGAAAAATATGGGGGTTTGCATGCAAATTGATCATACGAATTAAAACAGAAATAAGGGGGTTTGTATATAATTTTACCATTCAAATTGAAACACAAACAAGCGATTGGGGTTTACGGGTAGTTATGCCGTACGATGGCATAATTTGAGGATATGAAAAGTCGTGATAAAAAATGTTTAAAAAATTAACATTTTTTGTTGAACGTAACATAAAATGTTAATTTTTTTTAACAATTCTGATTGTCAACTGAAAAATGTACAGAGAATGAACTAAATAAATCACCTATCAATATACTTTAAGGAAAATATATTTATAGCAATTTGTGCAGTTCTTAGGACAATTTCAGTATTGCCATTATAGTTTGCAATCTGAATACATTAACTGAGCAGTATTGCCGTTAGTGTTGTTTTCGTCAATGCAAATCTTGGAGATAAGGTGGAGTAAACCGTGCTCAAACTCATCCCCATCGCTCCATTTGCAAACTTGAGCCTTCATTAGGCTCCTGTTTTTGCAAATCAAGTCCTAAACAGGGAAATCTTTCCTTGGCAACATACGGTCTCCATCTCCGAGCTTCAAACTCAGGCAGAAATCACCGACCCCATCACCCATGTAGATTATTGTTTTCTACTCCTCCATGGCTGACAAACAAGCTTGGATCCTTTCGATCACAATACCCTATTCACAAAGAACCAAAACATAGTCAATGAGGACATTTAAGGGTACCTTGCACAGTTAAGGGTACCTTGCACATGTTTGGAGGACAGGGATGATGACAACCATGAGGATGTTTGTTGAATTCTTGTAGAGGGAAGATCCTTAACCTGCATTCTTCGTCCACAAAACTCGGGTTCGTATTGATCTCTGAAAAGCATTCCCTCAAGCCATGATGCTTTAAGATGTGTCGATGAAGAACACGTTGGCGTCACTAAAAATCTTCTAATCACATCTGAAAAATATAAAGCCATCAAGTTTTTTCTTTCTTCTAACGATAAAACCAGCAAGTGAGGAACACACACACACACATATATACTTACCCTAAAGCGTGAGCAGATTTAATGGCTCGGATGATTCGAGGATGAATTGGAGTTTTTTTCAAAACAACTACAATGTCTTCGATCGTGGTTCCTTGTGAATGAAGTTTTTTCATCACTATATCCTGCAACATATATTTGTGAACAACAACCGTGATTAAACCCTAGTTCTTGCATTTGGAAAAGAAAGAAAAAAAATAAGACCCGATTACCATGACAAAGGCATTGTGGGGAGGAGCTGATTGAACAAGTGAGTAGCACCAACTCGTCCACCATCCAGTAGTCGCTATCACAATCAATTATTGTCTCATCAAAATCCATAATCACAACTATATTTGAAGCAGCCATTTAGATTAGAAGAAATATATGGAAGGGAGGTTGTTTGATTGAGGTTTGCGACATGAAGCAATGTGCTTTTGCTTAGAGTTTAGAAACGAACAGTTATTTAGAGGGAAAGAACAGTTACGATTTTTTAATTTCAAAGAGAATTCATAATCATACTTAGATTAGGATATTTGGATTGATTTTTTATTATTTATTTAATTCTTATTCAGTACGGATTGAGTTTTTATTATTTATTTAATTCTTGCTTAAATTTGTCAAAATAAATATTTGAGTTAATAACATACTTGAATGATGACTCATCCTTAAACATGTTATATAATTTTAAATTTAAACTTCATACATGATTTTAAAAAAAATTAAAACTCAATTAGAGTTCAATCGTACTTCAAATCCTGTGGAGTCGAACAATGTTATGCAGTTTGGTGAAACTTTGCAGTCATATATTTTCTGATTATTTGGGAACACACTTCAGTTTTTTCTTCAAAAGCAAAATGAAAATCCCATATGATCAATTCTTGTAATAGATGAGCATCAGCATCGACACGGCCAACACTTGACTCTACTGTGGAACCGGCAGAGCTTGAGGCAAGACATTTGTCGATGCCGATATTGTCTGCATCTTGCAATCAACGACGGCAGATGCCAATTGTGAATATTTGTCTTCATCTTCTTCAACAGCAACCGTGTTGATTATTCCCAGCAAAACTTTCTCCAGTTCTTCACCATCGCTCCATTCATGGATCTCAGCTTTGATCAACACCGGATTCCTGCAAATTAAATCCCACACCGGAAAATTCTTCCTTGGCATCATGTAGTCTGTCTCTCCAAGCTTTAAGCTCGGGCAGTAATCCCCGCTTCCATCTCCAAGGTATATAATTCTCTTCTTCCCTTCTAATAAAGCTTGAATCCTCTCAATCACCATCCCCTGTTCATCATTTTTCAACCATATATGTCAAATTCATGGGTTTTGTTTATGTTCTCTATGACGAATCATTTAAATTAAGTGGGGGTGTTTCCACTCGTAGTTCAATTGGTTTACAAATATGTTATTTTAAAGATGGTTGATAGTAATATTTAGATTGGGATGGTTATAGATGATTTTTTTTTTAATTTCAAAGATGATATGTATATTACATACAATAAATTAAGATTCAAATAATTTAAAGGCAAAATTTTTTGTGTTGGTTAGCAAATTCAAATCCAATTAGTGATGAACAAAACTGATACCTTGCACATATTTGGAGGACAGAGGCTGCATCCATGGGAGCTCTTGGTGAAATCATGGTGAGGGAAGATCCTTAGCTTCTCTTCATCGTCGACAAAGCTAGGGTTGGTGTTGATCTCCAAGAAACATTCCCTCAATCCTAGGTGTTCAAGAATTGTGTCGATGAAGAACGTGTTTGCATCACTAACAACCCGGAGTTCACACCTGAAAAGAATTTTCCGATCACCATTCTAAGTTCTACACGTCTCCAAATGACGTTTTTTCTAGTTAAGAAAAAAGTACCCTAAAGCATAAGCTGATTTAATGGCGGGGACGATCCAGGGATGAATCGGTGTTCGTTTAAGAACCTCAACAATGTCGGCAATGGTCTTCCCTTCCGCATGAATCTCCTCCATCATCTTGTCCTGCAAATTTATCCCACATAAACACCAACATGTCTGAACATCCAAGTTTTTGTCTAAAATCAGGGTTTTACCATGAGAGAATTCCAGGGCATGGTGGGAAGAAGCTGGTTGAACAACTCGGTGAAACCCAACTCGTCCACGACCCAGTTATCGCTGTCACAATCGATGATGGTTTTGTCGAAATCGAAAATCACAACAATGTCGGCCATTTTCCGTCTGAAGAGAGATGGAACCAAACCGAATAGAACGCGAGAAACAAGGTCGGGAAATAAGGAAATAAATATACGCTGCACAAAATATGGGAGAAAGCTCAAGAAGTGTCTCAAATGTTTCTCGGTACACATACTCACGTAACGGAGGATGGGTTTTTATATACATTTTTAAATAACAATAATAAAAAAGGGTATTTGCATGTGAAAGGATAAAAGAACAAACGGTTCAACAAACACTTTGGTTGGTTTGTATTTTAGTTTATACTTAGATGAATATTACGTGAAGGAGTTTTTATTAGAAATGAGAATCACATGCGTTATTTTTTAATATTAATAATACTGGTTAGTTTTTTTCAATAAAGACAAAAATTAAAATATAAGATGAGTTTATAATAAAATAAGAGTAAATTAATTATATTAATAGCACATAAAATAATTTATTCTTAATGTATATACAACTATTGGATATTAAATTTGATATATTTTAATAATTTTTTAATTAATTTAGGATAAGTACATTGTCTAAAGATAATTTTTAACCATTTGACATTGAATTCATATATTTTAAAAATTGTATGTAAAATTTAATATATAAACCTATTTTTAATACACGATGTAATTATAAACTAAAATATTTTTGGATAATTATTAATCTAGTTTAATGAAATTATTTAAAAATAAAGTAATCTAAGATGTTCATTGTATAAACTAATTAAATAGGATTACCATTAGATTTTTAATACTTAAACATTTTAAATTACATACCATTGAATTAAGAAATAAAAAGTTAAATTAATTAAATCTTTTATAGAATCCATTAATTGTATTAAAATATAAAATATTCAAATTACAATGAAGGTTTGTAACCACAATTGTAAACTAAACCTATAATAAGAATATTTTCTTAAACAAAAGAAACTAGCTACTTAAGGACCAAAAAGTTAAAAATCTAACCAAATAAACTCGAACAAGAGATAAATACGAACCACAAAAGGGAATAAAACTATTGAAATACTATTGACATACCGCAAATCAGAATGTTATCATAATAACAAAAAACAAAGATACACTATAATAAAGTAAAGGGAAAGTAATGAATACCGAAGGTCAGCAACTAGTACAAGATTCGTGTCGCAGTCGATCATTAAGATGAAGAAGAAAAGAGATTATATGCGACTATGACAAAAGAGAGAAAAAGATAATAAATCTTAATTTTTAATTAATTAAAAATCTAGATTCTCTAAATTTGTCCCATATATTTCAAATAATACTGAAAAAAATTACTCAATGTTTTCAAAAAGTTGATGATCAAATTTTTACAATAAAACGAGATAAAAATGGAGACAGAATGTACGAACAATAAAATGGAATTAGATTTGATGATATCAACTGGACCTCACCTCATTGTTACCCCTAACGGATCAAATGGTTAAATCTGGCATATTTGAGGGTTAGCTTTAGGGTTTATGGAGAATAAAAAGCGAATTGAATGAGAATATTCTGGCTAGGTTTCAGGAATAAGAACCATATAAACTTTGACAATCCTAATGTCAATCTCCCCGGAGTTCAAAGCTTCCTTCACGAACCGATGAAGGGGTACCTCTTATGCTTGAACATATTCTTGTAAAAATCAACATGGTTTATTATGGATTGTTTGTCAATGCACAGTTTCCTCTATGATCAGACCAGTAATTCTATTCCGCCTTCGTTGATTTTTGTGGTAAGATGAAAGAAACGTGGTTCCTCTCCCCCTTAATCGTCCATCAAGTCTAGACTTTTTTAACCAAGGATTTCGTCCTAATTAAGCACTGTTGAAGCTCTTCGTTCAAACAATCCTCCATCTCTTGAAGGCGCCTCGAGTGAATATATTTTGGAGATTTTTGAATGCCTTTTATACGATTTTGTAGAGTTCTTTTATTTTTGAAGATGTCATCGAAAGCTGTTTCCTTCCAGATTTTCACATCTTTTTCAGTTTCTGTAACACCGTCCATAATAGTTTTTTTCTTCTCCCAAGCATTATGAAAGACAGTGTTAAAGCCCGGGTGGGTGAGCCACATAACTTCAAATCTGAACGGTCTTTTGTCTTTCTCCATAGGAAGGTTAACATTGGTGTTTACCATGATGAGGTTATGATTCGAATGGAATCTGGGGAGATTGGTCGTTTGGAGATTAGGGAACAGTTCCATAAAATCAGTATTGTGAAGGACTCCATCAAGCCGTTCCTGTAAGACCACTTGGCCATGGGCACATCTCGTCCAGGTGAATTTGATTTCAAACCAGCCCGCGTCGAGCAGATTACATCTATCCCATCTCTCCCTAAATTGAATAGTCTGATCAATACAGTCCGAGTTGCTTCCTTCTCTTTCATCAAGAGAGGCGGTCTCATTAAGGTCACCCATAATAACAATCCAAGATTTTTCCACCGTGTCAGAGTAGTAACCCAACTCCTCCCAAAATTCATTTTTTTTTTGTCCCCGTGGGGTTGAATGTAGGCGAAAGTAGTTAACCATAATTTGTCATCCTTCTGAACTTCGTAATGTGCTGCTTGGTCCGTATTATGGATGATCTTGATTTTTACTTGGATAGAATTCCACAACATTAACAAGCCACCACGCATACCCTGGGCAGGGACTTCAAAGGAATTTTCGAAATTCAATTTCTTTTGAAGAGTGGTTCCTGTTCCCGTAGTAGCTTTGGTTTCAAGAAAGGTTAAAATTTCAGGCCTCTCATTTCTAAAGAGTTCTTTGTAGTTTCTAATGAAATCACTATTCCCCACACCTCTGCAATTCCATGAAATCATCTTCATTGGGTATCCACACTTGGTTTACAGCTAAGGGCGTATTGATTTCCATATCATTCTGCATTTGAACAGTTGTTTGATTTATAATCCTGTGGTTTATTTCCTGCGTTGGATTCTGGTTTTTTATGTTTACTTCATCGGTTGCACTTTTTCCTACTTGGCCGCTGTCCATTTCGTTTATCTGGTTTTCCATTTCAACAATTTCCACTTCATTGAAGGTATTCTTGGCTTCTGTCATAGCAGTGTTTGCGATTTTGTTTCCAATCGGATTCTCACGGTAAATCTGTAAGTTTTTCGTTTGTTCACTATTGCTAGCTCCCTGAGTGTTGTTATATTTGTTGTTGGATATCTTCTTTTTCCCTCTATCCTTATTATAGTTTCTGGCCGTTTGCGTCCTGTTTTCCTTTTTTTCCTTTTGAGCTGTTTGTTGTGGGTGATTTTCCCTTCTCAGGTTCAGTTCACTCGTCTCAGCTGCATTGGAAGCTTCATTTCCTGCTGCATCCTCTAATAATTTGAATCTATTTCCATCTTGGTTTTCTTTAGAGGTGGCATTCTGAGATTTATTATTTGCTCTTGACATTCTTTGTTTTCTTTGAACCAGCATCCAAGATCCATAATTGTTCTCTTTAGAACATTCATTCACCTCTTTTTGTTCTTCATAGTTGTTTTCTTCCTGGGCTTCTTGCTGTTCTTGCGTGCTTTTTGACTCTTTATCTGTGCTTTTTTGTGTAATTTCCATATATTTTAAAGGACATTGAACCGTTTTGTGACCCACCATACCACAGTGAAAGCATATCGAGTGAAGTCCCTCGTACTCTATATTGAATATCATATTACTGACTCTTATCTTCGAAAGAAGTGGTTTGTTTAGATCAATTTCAAAGCATATTCGGGCAAACCTTCATCTCGTGGTCCAGGCTGTTCTGTAGTCCACCTTTAGAGGCATACCCACCAGTTTCCCAATGTTCACAAGGATGCTTTCCTCAAAATATTCAACAGGGAGACCCGGGATATGATCCATTTTCCGCAAAGGAATTTGGCTTCCACTTTTGAACCGTTAGGTAATGATCCATTATCTTCCAGGGTCCTTCTGTCAGCACTTCCACACTGTCATTTGGACTTTGGAATTTTATCGCGTAAAATCCATTTCCCAGGTCGATGCAGTCAATATTACTCTCAAGCTTCCACATAAAAGTGATTCTGTTGGTCGAAACTTTGCAAGCAATGTTTTTTCCTAAAAGTTTGATAATCAAGGCTTTTCTCCATGGCTTTCTAATTTTTTTTTCTTTCATATCTTGATTGATCTTGATTGTAGGGATCCCATCTTCATCTATTTCATCCTCCTCATCGGAGTCGAGTTCTTCTTCCTCAATCCTTGCTGCGCTATTCAACATTCCTGTGAAGATTGGTGAGTCAGCCACTGTATCTTTCCAGGATTTTTCCCACGTTCTCTTCCCTTATTGCTGATCGAATGTGACTGGCGGGGACCTCACCTGCATGGCGTTTCAGAATCAAGAGCACGAAAGTTTCTTGGAACTAATCTTGGATAACAGCCCGTAATAAAGTTTTGAATAAGTATAATTTGAAAAATAACTTAATTTTAATTGGAACAAGTTTTACTTTTTTGAAATATAGTTCAACATAATATTTTAAAATGAAATTAACTTAATATCACAAATACATCTTTACCTATCTCATTTAGTGACAGAGTTGCATCTATGTGAATGTCTATTTGAAATTCGAATTTATCCTTAATACTATCTTTTTTTATTGTGTTTATTCACCCTAAAGTTTTATTCATATACACCCCACGCATAAAATTTATATTGTTATATATATATCTACTCACCCTTAAAATACTTTTAGATCCATCACTAATCTTATTAAACGTTGCGCAGATATCGATTTTTTTATTATCAAGTTATATTAAATAAATAATAAAAAAGTCAAAAATCAAGACAACCAATGAATGTAAAAACATTTTTAATATTTATATCAATTAATATCTAAACTTTTTTTTATTTGTATTTTTCTACTTTGAGCATGCAATCTCCATCAAACCTCCCAAGTACTAATTGGATTTTTTTCTTTAAAAAAATCATTGATCATTTATACATATAAAATTAAACACTTTGATCCATTCACCAAATAAAATCACCCAATCAAAGAGTTAAAACAGAAAATCACAGCTTGTGACTTGATCATAATATAAAATGGCCACGGTATTGTGATTAAGATAATATTTTTGGATAAAATTATTTATAAATAATGATTATAAATAGTATACGTTCATAATCATTATATAAATCTTGTAGGCACAATTGTTTGCATTCAATTTTTACGTTAAGAAGATAACATTTCCTTTTACTTGTAAAATCACTCAATGAATTTTGTAATAAATTTAAAGTATGTTGAAATAAAGTGATTATAATATTTAATAAATTTAATAATTATTTTTAATAAATTAATAAATATCATGGTTATTTATAACAATTTGATAAAGAAAGTTATTTTTATAATAATTAATGTATTTAATGATTATTTTATAATATTCTAATAATTATCTTATAACTTTAAGAATTCAATTATCAAAATTATTTAAATATAAATTAAAAATATTGTACTCTATAAAATTAAAAGTTTGAGTTATCTTTTAAGTTGTACTTTGATTTAAAAATATTCCCTAAATATAATTAGATTATTAATTTTAATATTAATATGTTAGAATATATGTATGTAATCTGTAATTGTAAATTGTAATTTTACGTCACAGTTATAACTTCAAAGAAATCCTTTTTCTACCGAGTCGGTCATTTAACCCTTACAAAATCTGAAAATCCCAAATTTCTCCTTTCTAAAGAGAGATATGGAGGAAGCAAAAGTTTTTTTTTAATTTATTTTATTTTACTTTGTATAAATATAATTTTTAAGCAGGAGGAGAATATTTGGGTGTCTGTTGTTTGTTTTTCTTCGGGATATACTATCAATGGTTGAAACTTGAATTATTGAAATCGAAAACAAAATTGTATTTTTTTTCACTTTCGAATTTAATAAGGAAAAACAAAAGAGGGGGGAAAGCTAACTCAAGATGCGATCTTTCATTTGGTCCTGGGAGTGTGGTAAAATCTAGGTCGTTATTGATTACATGACACTGAAAAACTCAAAAAAAAAAAAAAGGAAGGAAATGGACGGAGGCGATGAGGTGACAGCAGCTCCGGCGGGGCCGCCACAACCTTTGGACTGGAAATTCTCTCAGGTATTTGGTGAACGAACGGCTGAAGAAGAAGTTCAAGAAGGTATTTTTCTTATTGTCTTTGGATCTAATTTGAAATTTTTTGGTTCTATTGGAATTAGGGTTTATTATAGTGATTTGGATATTTTTGGGATCATGAGCTATTGAGAAATTGTTGTTTAGGTAGTGGGTAAGGAAAAAATTGCGACTTTTTCTTCTGGGAGGCGGTGGCGGCTTAGATTTGGGGAATATAGTGGGTTACAGACCAAACAATGCTTTGAATCATTGCCGAATAGTAGTTTCGTGAGGAAAGAAAAAGTAGTGGAAGTTAAGTTGATGAAGTTAGTGATGTTGCATGCGTTGACAAGTTGTGTTCCTTTTGCTTTTTGTAGTATTAGTGATTTGAAGCTTAAAATTTTTTCCAAGTAATTTGTGGTCATGAGGTTTCAGGATTCGCAACCGATTAATAGTATTTATAGTTGAATTGGAACTGGAATCTGGATATTTTCTCTCTATTGGGATGGAGATAGATTATGTTTAGGTGTTTAGATACATCACTTTAAGTCTTAATCCATGTTTTGATGATTACATTGATTTGGATGGATTAAATGTTTGTATGTTGGGCATGAAGGCAACTACATTTTACAGATTCCTGGATTCACTTGGTGTGTTTTGTTTCTGTTACAAAAGGTTTATATTATGACAAACTTCTGAGCCAATTGACAGGTAGAAAGCACATTGTACTATCAGTTGAATGATGTAAGAGTGTTGGTAGATGTTAACCTTTTTGTTCTGCTCAGTAAGTCAGTAGTGAAACTTGGCTTAACAAGTTGAACTCAATCATGTGTAAGTACTAGCTTGACGATTCTCAGTTTAACGACACCACAAGAACTTGGTAGTAGACAAGAATGGAAACATTGAGGTAGATGTTTTATTCTTTTGATGGTAACTCGTAGTCTTAACCTAACATTTCAGTATTCTATTTTGAGTTACGGATAAGCAATGAATGATAGACTCTTCAACAAGAATTCTTTCCTGAGAGGAATTATCTTGGACTTGTGACCCTTAAGAGCTTGTGACTTGCTAGCAGGTTCTTTTTTCCCATCGTTTCTCTAAATTAAGCTTGTCATCGACACAGTGACATTATTTTCCTAAGCTTTCCAGAGTAATTGGGTGAAAGGCTATGAGAATATATATTACAGTGGCTGTGAATTATCTAGGTAGGGCATAGTAGAAATAGTTTATAATCTATTAAATTGTAACTTTCTTTGTGTTCTCAGAGAGAAGGAAAAATTTAGTACAGGAAAAAAAGTATCAAGACTAAGATTTGTGATTTATCAGTAGAAAGGAAAAAGATTTGGCCTTCT